TGTTGGGTGGGGCGTGAGCGGTTCTGGTAGAAGGTGCGAGAGGCGGCCACTGGTCGCGAGGAGTGGTGGTTCCGCAGCAATAGCTGGTGCCTCGCCGACGCTGATCAGGCCAACCTCTCCGCCCTTGTCGCACTCGATTTTGGAAAGCCGCCTCCGTTTGTATGCGCTCGCCTTGCCTCCCTCACGCCGCATCATTGTCTGGATGTCTCGCGGTCATGCTCTTGTCCTGGGAGAGATTGACGAGGTGCGCGCTGGTGCAAGCGACCAGCGGAGGTTGTGTAGGACTTGAGACTGTATGAGACGCCATCGTAGTGCCGTTCATTGCGCTCATGTGTAGCTGTGAACATTTCCAGCTCGTCGCATTGCCATAGGGTTGTGAGAGGTGCGCACGAGGCGTTGCGCGCGAGTAGTCCCCCATGAGCCTGAGTTGTGCGATTTTCTCGGCGCTCCTTCGTGTGTGGATGGCGTTCGATGCGCGCGTGCGGTGGACGAGTAGGCGATGACTTGCTTGGGAGTGATGGCTGCGTTGGTGAGCGGACGACAACTGCAACGCATCAGTCAGGCGCTGGAGCGAGCACTCGATGAACGCACACGTGAAGCCCGCTGCTCATGACGGTGCAGGCATCATGGGGGTTGTTGCAGATTGGCGAGTGAAACGTGACATGGCGCACACAGCCGTTGGGTCGGTTGAAGCTGCCAGGAAGGTTCGGCTGTGGGTTTTGGCGTTACTGGAGGCGATGCGCGAGCGCTGCAGGTGCCGCTTGGGCAGCTTGTGGGGGTCGCTTTGCGTGTGGCCCTTGGTCGGAGCGCAGATGTAGCCGGGGCTGATGATGTCAACCAAGGGTAAGCTCGAGGTCCGGCAAGAGTGAGAACGTGACTGTTGACGTGTTGTAGTGGGCGCAAGTCGCAGCTGACACGTTCGCGGAAGGAGTGCTTGGCTGCCCGCGCTGAGTCATGACTGCTGTGGCTCGGCTGCACCATCCACACGCCTGCCACACTCGGCGTCCTCCGCGCGCGATCAGCGCGATATTGGCCAATCTCAGGCATGCAAGTAAGGGCGCTCCTACATCGCACGACAGGACCGCCGTCACGCTCCCGAGTCGATACAAGTAAGATCAATCCAACTTGCGATGTTCTCCATGCCGTCTGCAGATATGAAGGCAGGTGGCCCATGCTTTGAGGCTCTGCGGGAGATCGACGTGCTAATCTCGACAAGGCCTAACTCCGACGCAGCCCCCACGTCGCGACGAGCCGCCAGCATCGCTGAAGCTCCTTTCGCGCGTCCACACTATCAAGTCGCTGTTCCTCTGGACGCGATATCATCCCACGATCGGACAGGTTGAATCGACGGCATGTCGCACCATCACACGTCTTGCTGGCGACATCTCCGCTCCTCAATCCGTCACGCTCGGCGTTGGACCCAAATTGTGAGTAAACGCGCCTATTCCAGCCTGTACTGGTCTCAAAATGTGACTCCGCATGCTACATCAAGCCGTATAAGCTGCTTCGCCACATCAAATAATGCTGTTTGGGGACGGAATCTCTTCCTCGCATCCAGCTCTAGTGTTTGTGCTGCAATGCTCGTTTTGTACTTGAAATATAAGAGGTGCTTTGAAGTTCAACTAATTCTTATGCGATGTGCCGATTCATCATGAACCAACCTGTGGAATCATTCAGCGAAGCCTTGGAACTTGACTATACCTAGATATCTTCCAGCAAGCGCAGGCGATCAATTTGTCTAATTGCGACGTGCAAAGGGTACATCAACGTCCAACGACTCTTCACCTCTCGCCATAAGCTCGATGTCAATGCAAGACGATTCTAGTTCCTGATACCTAGTTGTAGTTAGCTTTCAGAAGTGACTAAAGTAGTTCAGGTCGATCTAAACATTCTATAAGCAGCAACTCGATCAAAGTCGAACGAAACTTGTCACAGTCTTTACTATCGTGCAATCATTACAACGTGATTCGATAGACATGCAAAAGCGCGAAAGCTCAACGCGACATACAAGATATCGCATATATTCCGCTTGATATGTCTCCTCGTCAGATAGAATCATACCGCAGTTCTACAAAGGAGAGAATGTCACTGTGCTTTGTCATGAACGAGCTAACAAACAAACTCTGCCCCGCAAAGAACTGTAAGCTACAGGCGAAGACCGCTACTTTTTATCTTCTCTAGTCGGTATTCGGCGACAGTAAACCGTGCAGGGATCTCTAGAACCGTTTTGACAATGCCTTTTCCCTTGCCCGCTAGGTATAGAGGGTCTCGAACACGTCACTGATTTACGAGACACTGTACTCATCTTCCTCTGCCAAGCACCTCTGGGACTCTCATGCCATCACTTTGCCAATCTTTGTACGATCTTTTCACTGTCTGCTCCTTCTTCTTCTTCGAGCTCCAATGCTACACTTTATGCAGCGCAGCTCTTGTTCAATTCACTCACCCAAGCATGCTTGACTAATAACCGTTTCCTACGTGTCATATCCACCGGCTTCAGCCGCCAAGAAGACGACTTCCACGTAGCCCCCGAACCTGAACGTATCGCTTCCTCTATCATGTCATAAATCGCGACGCTTTTCAGCCCTAGATCTGGCAGCTTGAAACGCGGTAGTAAAGTCGCGCTATACTTCCGCTCTCGTCTCTACAGTCTGCCATTGTTCAGCCTCATCCCGCGTGTCATCGTTGGAAGTATCTCACTCCAAACTCACCCTACATACTGAGCACGCATGAGAACCACACTATATTCACATGCATCTCTACAATTTCTCTTATCTTGTGTTCTGAAGCGACTAATTACAGGCGATTGGAACTGCGGACTTAATCTGGTCAAATCGCACTCGTGGCTCGACCCAAAAGAGTCAGCCTCATGCCGGAACAACAGATGATAGTGTTTGAGGGTGATTGCCTCAAAAGATGCATTCTATCGTCTTCCTGAGGCACCGACAAAGGCTGCATTCAACCGATATAGCGCTGCTGCAGTCGGCGCATCACGATCGCAGGTCTGCATGCTTACGGGTGCGAGGCGTGTAACCGGCTCGTACTCTTACGCTATTGTGACAGGCACGATCAATCATCAACATCCTGATGAACCTCAAATATCTTTGAGTAGAAGCAGGCTGAAACGGCTCTCGACCGTGTTGAAAGAACGCAGACAGTTAGACTTGAGCAGCAAGAAACCATCACCATCACATTCGCAAAAGTACTCTTCAACTCTAATAAGAGAGATTACAGTTATTAGAGCCCACCGGTGCTACAGCATCACGAGACCGCAGTTCATCGATAACGATGTTCTCAACTAACTTTACGTCGTTGAAATGAGATAACCCGGTGCTCCCTGTGCAATCTCGAAGACGAAGGCCGTGGACTTAGAGAAGCGTACCATTTAGAAACCAAATCTAATCGCTTGTTGTGGGACGGGGACATGTATGTCAAGGTATTGGTGGCGTCGTTGAGATACCGCGGCAAGAACTAAACAGCTTGAACGCGATGGAGACGATGCACTATGTTCCGGACGAAGCTGGAAGTGGTGTCGCGTGGCAGCAGATACATGTGCGTATCCGATTATTCTTTAATGATAATGTTTGAGGAGCATATAACTATTGTCGACGCTGAGGAGACCTGAGAACGGTGCCGAGGTGTCAGCGGTAATGGAATGCCGTCTTGCATCACAGCCCATGATGCCGTGCGTCCTCTTCCTGCTGTCGTTCGTGCTTGAACCGAAGGCACATACAGTGGAGAAGGGGTGTGCCTTGGAGCCAGACCGATGCTTGGTCTCGGAAGCGCTAGAAGGACGCAAGTCTCATTCCCGTCGCATCATCATGTCGAGCCGAAGATTCAGATCACATCCATGACGACTCTCCGCAACCACAGAGCTGGTGGGTGGACATATAACTCATGACCGTTTTGCGACAGGAACGCTTCCAAACACCAGCTTCAAGCTAGCTCTGTAGCTCTTCGTCCAGTAGATCCAGAAAGCATATCTGATCATGGTTACAGACAGTATTCATTTGTCCTTCCTGCGCGTCCGAATGTTGTGACTTTCCCAAATGTACACAACCAAGGTTCCCTCGCGAAAAGACCCCTCGGCCTCGAGCGCGAGAGACAGAGAATGTTGTGACTTTCCCCACCATACCGCGCCAGCCGTCATGGAACGAAAGGTGGCCCGTTCTCCTTCGCGCGAGCGTGCTGTCATATGCGCCGACGTGCTGGGAACTGCACTTGGGATCAGAGCTGCCTCTCGCGCACTACAAGCGACGCGTGGCCGCAAATGTGTTGATGTGTATCCTATTGGTACGATTCATATCGCGTCGTGTCACTAAGTGATGTTAGAGGGCGCTGAGCGTGTAAAAAGCATCATTGCCGTTGATGTTGGTTAGGGATGGCGAGGCCTGCGTGGGAGCGGAGGGCATAAGCGAAAAGCTCCGGCTTGATGTGTGACTAAGCATCGAATGACAGCGGGGGTCGTCACGCTAGTCGAACAGGCCTAGCGTCCACACGGGGAAATAGAAAGTCCGACCCCGGAAGCTGCACCGCTCGCAACCGACACGCTTGGAGCGCGACCTCCACTCCCACTACCATCACCGCCATCGTCACAAACCATCTCAACCTCACCTGCTAGCCGTCGTCAACCGCAGCCACCGTCTCTCGTCAGCTCCTGGCCCCCGGTCCTCTTCGCCTGCCTGTCGCCTTGCCTCAGTCCGCCATCCCCCGGGACCTTTGACGTGCGCGCGGCGTTGTCGGCCTACAGCCCACGCGTCGGCGACTCACGCGTCAGAGGGGCGGTTCTCAAGCAGTCGCAGGCTGTGCGGACACGACGGGGACAGCAGTTCACGAGCCGACACCGCGCTTCCGTTCCACCCAGCACCATTCGCCGAGCTGGACACGACGAGTCAGGGCTGCTCTCCGCGCACAACGCGTCAAAAGCCCGGGCGGGTGGGTTTCCCTTGCGCTTGCTTCATCGCAAGGGGGATATCACTTGTGAGTGATACTTCTACACCATGGTCCGCTGGCTTGTCTCCAAGAAGGGTGTGCCCGTGTTGGCAAGCGTGAGATCGGACCCTGCTGCACAGTCACCATGTGTCTTGGTCGTGAAGTACAACGAGGAGCCATTGCAGCTTAGCTTCCATTTACAATGCACGACTTTCATTAATGGTTTCGATGATGAGCAAACGTTTACTTTGATCTATGATGCTGACAACCTGATGCGCGACGCAACTACGCTCAGCGATGCTACCACGTCCCTTTCCCACGACCAGTTGACCTCCATCGCACGCGCCGGAAATCCCCAAATAAGAGCATTGGCTCTAACGCTCGCGAAGCCATGCAAGATCAGGTGCCCTCCTTCAACCGCTACCTTCACATCGAAGAGCGGTTATGAGGCCCCTTTCCACCGCCTGGCTGCCCTCGCGAAAGCTACAGCAATCGATATCACCTTTGACTACAATTGGGTGCACGCCAACAATCGTCTTCCTCTAGAACGCCTGTTCAGAGAATTGGGAGCGTTTTCGGGGGTCTCTGAGAGTGCCGATGCATGTAGATACGCGGATTGGGCAATCTTCTCTACCGTTGAGGAAGACCATCAACCACCACCTTCGTACACAAACGCGGTAGACGCAGGTGCATCACAAAAGCGACCCAGGCGTGGTAGGTTACCTCGTGCCACAATCACCTCCTCGACAATTACTCATACGCAAGATAGTTACACCACCCTCGCAGCCCGCTTCGCCGCCTCATAAACGTCTGCACTACGATCATGGGTCGCCCACAGAAGTCGCGACATCCTCACCTTGTCCACCGGGCACATCCCATCATTCGCCATTCGAGAAGGAGGAAGCAGAACTTACGAGTGCACACCCATCTCTACACGCCAGTGCCCAGCTCGCCTTCCAAGACGTCGTCAACAAGGCCGTCGCGGCTCAGCTGCCAGCCATTGTCGAAAGCATGTTGCCCAACATTCTCAGGAGCATATTGCCGGATGTCCTCCATAGATCCCTTGCTCCCAGGGGATCACCGTCTTCGTCGCCTCCCCCTAGAGCCAGCTGTACGCCCCAATCCTCGCCTTCCCTCGGCACACTCATAGCCGACCGCCTGGAAGTTCTGGCCAAGGATCACTTGACTTCGATCTTCGCCGATGCCAATGACCAAGCGTACAGCCTCCGCAACCAAGCTGAAGGAGAGTTTGAAGACGTGGTTGCCGACCACAAGCTTGATGTCGACACAATCAAGGAGGACTGCATACGAGAGCTTGGTGAAGTGGTTGACGACAAGCTGTGCAAGTTCAAGGAGCAGACTGAGGAGATTGTCGAAACTGCCGTGGAAGAAGTGGGCATCAAAAGCGGTGAAGTTCGCGACGACTTTTGCGACGGGCTTGAGGAGTTCGTGAAGATAGCCTCTGCTTCACTCATGAAGTTGAGAGATGGGAAAGGCCACCGCAATCGTATGTCGACGAGTCAAGACTAAGCATCATGAAGGTGTTCACTACATGATGGATCGCCATCTGTTGCTTGTGATGTCAGTGCTATGCAGCCCCCGACATTGTTTCCTGTCTCACCATACAACACATGCCTGGCAAGGTCGCATAGTCGCAGGTGACTGGGGCTTTTTGACTCCTGTGCAGCCCCGCGCTCTCCAAATCAACAGCATCTTCGTCAGCTTTCTTCGGACTCAGACTTCACCCTTTTACCCAGCTACTTGATAGGTTCGCAGGGACCGATTTCCGAACGCTGGAATCGTAGATCTCGCTTTGCGTACCAATATTCTCAAAGACTTCACTGGTTCCACATCATGGCAGACATTAGCAGGCTCTTGAAACGATGTCGAGGCCTTCATACTCTAACAATCGTGCGATCAGGGATGATGAGATAGAGTGCGCGTTCAACTCGGACTGCTGTCTAGTCCTAGCTCGAGCTGGTCATCAACGTTAGGCTTTAGTACACGGTATGATTGCGATAGCGTGAATACTCGTGCGATCAGGGCACATCCGTCAGCATCGCCGTTTATGCCGCCAGAAACGGAAGGCAGAATGAATGTTGAAACAACTGTTCAGACCGAAGGAGCAGCGCGACGTTGGCTCTGTCGCAGGCGCGACGTATCTGGTTAGCCCCCCGCATCGGCTGGAGCAAGAGACCACAACGAACATCATCAGATCGTTCCAGCTTGCGTGGCCGACCTAGACGACTTGTGTCGCATCGTATAGTCCGCCTTATCGCACGTTGCACACAAAAGCGGATCGAGCCCCAAAGCCCGCTCTACATTCTGTCCGCTGCCGGCGTCAAAGCAGGAGGTCTTCTCCCAACCACCACACATGATCACGCCAGCAGCTGTTACGATGTAGCTGGAAAGAGTATATGAGATCTGGGAAAGCGACATCGCGGAAGAACTCAATGCCTCATCTACCAATAAATTAGACTGGTGATTGAACGAACGGCCGAGGTAATGCTTGTCGCACACATCTGGGCATGCGCGATGACCCGGATACGATGTCGCACCCACCAAGATCAGGAGCTTCTCATGGCCGCGCAGCCCGGTGAGTCTTCGCATCCTGGTGTTGTTTTCGGCCATGATGTCGCGCTCCGAAACCTCGCTCTAGCTCAGGCAAACACTTCAGACTGTCATCTGATCAGGTTGAGAACCACGTCTCAGAAGGCCTGACTGTGGCGAAGGTCGCAATTGGCTCCGGGTGGTGAAATGGAGAGAGCGCCTAGTGCTAGGTCTTGTTTAGATAGTGATGCTTTCGGGCCTAGACACGGCATCGCCTTCTGACATGGACACTTATTACAGTTTGCGGCGTTTATTCCTTCCACCACTATCTCTTAACGTGCTTCCAGTGGCCGCATATGCTGCTCTAAATATCCGGGACTACACATCGCTCGGCCAACACGGTGACTCCACGCCATCGGAGAAGTTGAAAGCAAAAGATGCATCGTTCTTCGCGCAAGTGTGACCTTAGGTTGTACTTGATTTGCTTACTTTATTGTCCTCCTGGAAATCCTCCTCTTCAGTGTTCGATATGCAAGGTTGTTTGCGTCTCTATGGTCTACTACAATGGACGCGCGTCTTATCAAACGTGTCGAACCCAGATTGTCGCATTACGAAAGCGTTTCCTTTCCAAGCGCGCCCGTCCTTCTTTTCAACGACGCTACCGATCTTCCGAAGCGCTTCTTGCAAGTTCTTTATCTCTCCAAAGCGCGGTATACAACTACAGCTTACACTAAAGCTCTCGTCTCGAATCTCGCATCTATACCTTTCTCTCTTCTCTACCTATACGTCTCGTGCGTCGTTAGATAACTAGACTGTTTCATGGTGAACACCGACAACCCGTCGCAATTGCCGGGCTTGGCTCTCTGTTTCCTGGAGGCATTATGGAGGTGGTGATGAAGCACGCTAGTCTACCTACACCGACTCTGCGCGCCGGCGCGCGTTACCCCCCTCTCGTCGTTGGCAGTCGAGCCTGTCTCTGCGCTATGATACAAGGCATGCATTTCTATGCTGCGCAATTAGTCGCACATGTTAGTCCCTATGGTCCCAGCATCACGATACCTCTCTTTACTGGATTTGCGGCAGTTCTTACATAACGGACGTTGCTGTAGCTACCTGATATCTATATGTGCATAATGCGCCGCTAACTATGAAACCTGCTTTAGCAATCTTGTTGGCTCTGTCCTTAACCGAATGAACTAACTTACCACTAACAGCGACTGCTGAATCAGATGCACCCGGTCTCGTGATCGTAGAGGTTTAAAAGATGAGCATGCAGTAAGAGCGAGCGGCTAGAACCTCTTCACCGAGGTTCAGAATTCGGTATCTGGTCGAACAAGGCTATCGCGACATCACGACATCTTTCCTTTCGAGCAACTAGACTCATATAGTATCACAGCTTGCAGAGAGAGAACACGCTGTACAAGTCTATTGATATACATAAGCATTGCTAAAATATTCCCTCGTGACATCTCTAAGAGCTGTAGAGGCCGAAGCTCTTCGGCCCAACGTAAGTCTCCGCGCCATCCTTCTTCTCGATCTGATCAGCGGGGATAGTGTGGTTGCCAGTCGTGTAAGAAATGGGCGTAATCTGCTGAGTGACGGAGAAGTTGAGGCTGCCGTCCTCGTTCCTGATGACGGCAAAAGTGCGCGAAGAGTTGCATTTGCCGTCAGAGACGCCGGGGAGGGCGCCATCGTCGCTGTCGGCCGCTGTGTTGCACTGGGTGGGGATGGTCTCGCCGTTGGCATGTTGAACGACGGCGAAGTCATAGCTATGCACGCGTTAGCTGGGTCATGATAGAGAGGGGGGGAAAGAACATACTAGCATGAGCCACCGTCTGTAGAACAGTATGCAATGAAATCGGTGACGTCGTATCGGGGTGTCACATCAGTTGGGGCACCGGCTACGGCGACAGCAAAGACTGATGCGATAGCAGAGAGCTTCATGGTGACGGTTGGCAGGAGAGAGATTCGTGAACGAACGTGAGGTGGAAGAGTCCGGATGTTGTTGAATGTCGATGGATCAGAAGGGATGACTTGTAGGAACGAATATATCGCAGGCACCTCGAGCTCTTCACATTAACGGCCACGCCACGCTTGTCGACCGCTACATGGCGCGACTAGCTGCCTTGGTGACCCGATTGCGAGCATGTGACGTCGTTCCTGGGGATTGAAATGACGATCGCTGTATTAATAGCATTTGTCGAGCTTGATGGGGAAGCTTGGTCTGACATCTTACCACCGCGGTATTGCCGAATACGAAATGACCCGAGAAATCCGGGACTGTTGCGGCTAATGTTGGGTTGTGCGTCGACGTAGTGCGTGCAATTCTGCCGAGCATCCGCGCACAGGCACAACTCTGTTCTGCGACTTCTCGTATGGCATCTGTGTTTGTACGGTTGTACGAAGTTTTAAGTAAGCGTGGCCGTAGGGAAGATTGTGCCAAAATTGCTCTTCTTGAAGTCTATCCAGGTGCAAACTCTACAACACTCTCAAAGCCCAATCTCCAAGTAATGAGTCTGATCAAGCCGCCTAAGTTTGTAGTCTTCGATGTGAACGCGTTCAATGCGCACGGCATACGACCTCGCATGCGCTTGCGTGGCTCTCCCCTTCCTGGGTTGATGTTTGCTCTGCCCTGTAGCTATGTGCACCAGCTCGTCGGGACAGTCATACAATTGGCGAGCGTGGAACTGACGAGACTGAAGCTGACAGCAAGGTGATATGAGGTCGTCAAGGGGCAGGAAGACGGCAGCCGCTCTTTCTTAGCGCCTTGCGACACCTTCGCTTGCACAATGGCAAGTATTTTGTTGTCTTGGAGGCCCGTGGAAAATCATCGCATAAGGGGCTGAGCGGGAAGCGGAGAAGGGTTTCGATGGTCTTCGTGTGTGGCATGAAGTCTTGCAAGTCATGGTCCGGCATGAGGGTATTTGGTAGAGGAAGGTCATCGTATCGAAAAAATTACTCGACATCATGAGACATAGCATGACCTTCCCATTAAACAATAATGAGATACTCCAACTTCTTGCATGTACTCTGTAAGCTGTGGGTTTCGAGCACGAGAATCGCGTTATCGCGCTGTCACGAATGGTCCAGTCGCGAATTGTTCGCGGACGGGGTCGCAACAGCGGACTACATTCTGGGTATCCTGTCTTCCAGGAACTCATCTAGGTCGTCACTCTCGAGCCTCACTGGACATTCGACGGGAGTCTGTCGAAGAGCCGTCGTTAGACCGCCAACCTCGCGCCCAACTCTCCTGATTCCATTCCTGGTCTTCCACATTAGATCGAGCCCAGTACGGAACACAGAGTTCACCGCGAGAACGTAAGCCTCTCGCAGCATTCACCTCGTGAATATCAAGAAAGGGACATTCCTTCCCGCTGCAATGCGTCTTGCTCAGTTCGTAACTCCACCAACCCTCCGCATAAGATTTTACAAATTCTTGTTGGCTTGGCATGCGTCCTCCTTTCCAGATCTTGTTCAGCCGGTTCCAGGACCGGATCAAAATCGACAAAATGTCACTGCGCTTGTTGAGGGTTGAGTGGTGCGATAAGTAGAACGGGTGGATATACGGGAACGGTAGATTGGCGAGGAAATGAAGCGTCGTTCTGTACGCCAGAGCAAAGCTACAGGGGCACCAGGTCTCAAGTTCCTCTGATGAAGCAGGTAGCGATGCGAGATCGAAGCCAGAAGTTAAGAAGACATTGGAAAGATAGTCCCGCAATCGGCACGGAGGACATGTACGGTTCCTGTTGATCATAGCGAGGTTGTCGTCGGGAGGTTCATATCGAAGCGGCTCCCAAGAGGCGGAGGCAAGTGGTCGTAAATCAATTGTTCTCCCATACTAGGCAGAGCAGGGAAAGTCGTGGCATTAACTGAGTATGTCCCACGCATATCGCCCACGCTCGAAGATCTAGGATCTAATCTGGAATTCCTAATCCAGTCAGCAATGCATGTGCAGAATCATACAGGGTGAGGAATTTACACTTAGCTGCTGGCTACCTAGGGCTAACAGACTGCTCGAGTTTGGGTGGTTGTAGGGTCTTGGACCAGCCCAACACTTCCTGAAATGGTTCCACCCCTCGTACGCGTCTTTCCAGGGCTGTTGAAGGTCGGGATAGACGCGTGAATAGCCGCCGAGTATGAGGTCTGGATCAGAATGAAGAAAGGTCGGGGGGCAAGCTGACGTCCAGCCGGACAAAGGGCCAGTAGCGTCATTTCTAGTCGGTGTAGTGAGGTTGCCGGCATCGAGTGAAGAGGAAAAGGAGCCCAGCAATAATAGAATAGTCCAAGATACAATCGCCTTAACGAATGGTCGGTCTAGAAAATAGTTAGCAATGCTGGGACTTGGTATTCAGGGCGAGAAATCTGGGGAGTGATGAGCTTACTCCAGATAAGCCATCGAGCTCCCTTCATTGCCACACCACCAACAAACGCTACAACTACACCGGGAATGCGAAGACTCTCTGTTCCGACGTGCCAGACACTACTGGGAAGTTGCGGTGGTATGTGATTGGGGAGCTTATCGGTGAACCGTGTGCAACAATGACGAACTTTTGCTAGTAGAGGCAGTGTTGGCAAAGGGTTTCTGTCAAGGTAGGCCAGCTGGTGTGCGTCGAGCGGGATACTAAGTGCCTTTCTGTACCTGGGAAATTGAAGAGTATTGTTTCCATCATCGTGAATGCTCGATACGCTTGTGGTGCTGGGCCTGCAATTTGCGTTCTGGATCGGTGGAGACACGAACTCCGAACCGACGTGGAGATCTGACAGAGGAATCGCCATGGAGAGAGGGAGAATGAGCTAGATTCCGACTGATGCGAATCGTAGCAAGATCTGGGGTTCTGTCAGAACATCGTGTTGGTCATGAAAAGATCAATTTAACTTGCGTGACCACGACGGAGCGATATCGAAGCAAAGTAACTTCTCTGCTAGATTGAGTGGCGGAGATCTGGTACAAAAAGACTGCGTACTCGGGTAGTACGGACTCGGGAGCAACAAAGACTTCCAACACTCCTTTCATCGCGACGATGCCGTCCTTAGAAGGCCTCCGAGACAGGTCATCATCAATGGGAAGTCTACATTCTTCCCAGCTGCATAGGCATTTCTGAACGGTTGTCAGGCTACGCCCCGTTGTTCATCAGGCAAGGGTTCCAAATGCGAATGCTAAGACGTTTCTTTGGAAGCCTTCCGCCCCGATATCTCTTTGTTACCTTTTGTTTGGCAACTGCATCCATCATGAGTTCCTCATGGAGGTGGCGGCATCGGGCTTTGGTGTATGTGTGAGTGCGCATTGTCCAGACACGTTGTCCCCGGTAGTAGACCGTGTACGTAAACCCAGAGCGTGACAAGAAAGGATCACAGTCTACCAAAAGCACTAGATCGTGGCGGTTGTCTTTGAACAGTGTTGCGAGACGACGAAGAGAGGACTGCGCGCCATGGCAGCCTGTCTCGGCGTCATTCAAGAGCACTGTGTGAGGATGACACCAGATTTGTCAAGCCGAAGGGCCGCTCTCCAGGCCTAGTATGCTCCCCCGGATCTCCGATGAGCTATCCACACTCTGCTTCCCCAAAAAGATTTGCGCCTATCATGTTGGCCTCCGAGTTGTATGCATGGAAGTTGGGCTGGGCGTGGTCGTGCTGGTCTGCAAGGATTGTGCTATTGTATTGTGATCATGCGACGGATTGGGCAAGATGTGTGTCGGTAAGAAAGACTCGTCGATGAGGTTCGATTCGGCGGCGTGACTTCTTCCCTGATGAGATGTTAGCGACGAAAACAGGGATTGGATGCCATGTAAAATCCTTACCTGTCATCATGAACCAGCCCACTGTGCTTCGTCCTTAGCCTGCTTCACATTGCATTGCCCAAGCCTTGGATTCGTTCCTATGCCGTCGAAACAACCACAAGCATCTGCACTGGCAGCCCTCACAAACGCCGCAACTCTGCGTCAGCCCGTTGGGAGGTCGTGCTGAGGGCGTACCCTGAGCCGCACGTCTTGTAGTGAAAGTTGCGGCAGGACAGCCTTTGCTGACGATGCGCAGATGACAGCCGGGTCGGCACAATGACCGCATGCGACTGTGTCTTGACTGCGCCATCTTGCAGCTCCCTCGGTTATACCTCCACCGGCTGCGAGTCGTCGGTAAGGCGGCGGTCCGGTACCAAGGCCCGGCGCATAGCCCGTTGTTGGGCGACGGAATGGGTCGGCGGGTCGGCATGCCCGCCATGTGGCCGTTGCATTCGTTGCAGTACCCAGCTCCTAAGTGCGCACCTTGTCCAGCCCAGAGAGAGATGCGAGACCCGAGGAGACAAGAACAGCCTTGATATGGTGTTCGTCGCGCGCGGCAGTCGAGAGTTGGCTATGGCAGAAGCACCGAGTGGGTGAAGGCTGCGGTGATGCAAAAGAGCATGTGAGCGTACTCGCACATTGGCGTATGAGCAACGCAGAGGCGCGGTATCGGTTGCGCGTGTTGTCGCTATGGGTCTGGCATCGCGATGGTGCTAGCGACGGCGTGTCCGCTAGGGTAGCCAAGTGCTATGGGATGTATGTCGATCTAATGAGCGCGATACCATACGTTGTAGGCGACGTTCTAGGTCGCATGGGTGTGCGGTCGGTATATTGGGTGGGTGGTCCTGGCCGTCACAATCGTCTCAGGTCACGCGACCGGATGGACGAGGCTGCGCGTACGCGTGTGGGGAAGGAGGGTTGAACATGTCGCGTGAGAGGAGCGGGTGGGCCATGGTAGGTCATGCTAACCGCCTTGCTGGGTACCATGACGCCATGTTTGTGAGCGATACGTATGGCTAGCAACAAGCGGCGATTTAATGCGCATTGACGGCTGTGGCAATGGACTTTTCGCTTGTTTGGGTGCTTCGAGGTGGATCGGTAGGAAAGGCGTGATGGGCGATGATGAGGGCGGCTACTGAGGGTGGCTCGCTGAGGGCGGGGCCTGGC